AGGGCCGGCTGCAGCCAGGAGGCTACAAACAGCTGCTGCCTCCCCACCCCCGGCTCCAATGGGTGCAGAGCCAGCACCTGCTGCCTTCCCAGAGCCCAGGGCTGGGAGACAGTTGGGGCCAGGGCCGAGGCAGGAGGGCAACAGCTATTTGTAGCCTCCTGGCTGCAGCCAGCCCCAGATCTGGGTAGCTGCTGATAGCCGCAGAGCCCAGGCTAATTGCATGGAAGCCCTGCTGCAAACAGCCTGGGCTCTGTAGCTATCAGCACCTACCCAGAACCCGGGCCAGCTGCAAATATCTGCCGTCTCTCTGCCCCGGCTCTGTCCCCAGCCCCAGTTGCCTCCCAGACCCGGTCCCAGGTCTCCGGGGAGGCAGCACGTACTGGCAATGCTCCCCGCTGTGCTGCCCTCGCTGCTTCTGCAAAGCAGCACTGGAACCTGGCATGGCAGGGCACAGCAGGGGGGTGCAGAAAGCTGCCTGCTCCCAGCTCTCTGCTGCCCTGCCACACTTACCCTGCAGGTGGGGGCAGCAGCAAGCAACAACTCTGCGCTGCTCCCATGCACACAGGGGAAGTGTGCAGAGCAGCGGGGAGCTCAGAGCAGGCAGTTTTCTGTGTCCCCTGCTGTGCCGGGTTCCAATGCTGCTTTGCAGAAGCAGCAAGGACAGCACAGCGGGGAGCACTACTGGTATGCTGCCTCCCTGGAGCCTGGGGCTGGGAGGCAGCTGGGGCCGGGGTGGAGAGGCAGCAGATGTTTGCAGCTGGCCCAGGTTCTGGGTAGCTGCTGACAGCCGCAGAGCCTGGGCTGGGGGGCAGGGGCTTTGAATGGGGGGGAAGGGTCATTAGCAGAGCTGGGGGGGCAAGGGGCACAGATAGGGCATCCTGCCATGTACCCCCTGCCCTCATTTTGTTTTTCTGGCATGCTAGCACTCCGGCACCTTCCAAGGTAAGCATTGTGGAGGTTTTCAGCACTCTGGCCAAAAAATGTTGCCTACCTCTGGCTAAGAGGTTTAACATAACTCATTTTGCCCACTATACCCTCTGCTGCCTTTCCCCCTCCCATTCAGAAAACAGCAAGAACTAGCAAAGAGCCCTGGCCATTGCTATGGGAACCTGGCTGCAGTTTCCCAGCAGCAGCTAAATTCCCCTCCTGCCTGGAACCAACAGTGAACTTCTGTTTGGTCTGGGGTAACACTGTAATTCAAAACACTTCTCAAAAATTGTTCTGAGTTACAGCTGGGAGCTGCACTTCTGTCCACATCCTTAAATTCTTCTGAATAGCAAGGTCAAGTGGGTCCAAAGTGAGGCACTCAGGGAAATTTGAGTGTACAGTGCTTAATATGGAAAA